TGCGAGCAGGACTCGGGCAGGGCTCTGTGCTGCTCACCCGGGCACAGCCACTCGCATCCCCTGCCTCGGGCTCCATCTCATCAGGAATTTCAGCCTGGCAGCCCAGGAAGCACCGGCTCCCCTGCACACACAGCAGCATCTCTGCTGCAGAACACACGGCTCACACTGATTTTGTCCACTTCCAGTCCCCCAAAGGTCTTTCAGAAGTTTAAACAAACACTCAAAAGCACGTCAGTACTTTCAGACAGAAGGTCACATGGGAAATAAAAGGTTTAATCCAAAACTTTATAGCCTTAGCACACACAAAAAGAGGCACATTCAAATGTTTATGTTATCACTACTTTTGTCAGCTGAGCTTTATTTTGAAACTTTAGAGGTCAGCCCTGAACACTCAAGAGTACTCATTTTATTTGAGGACTGATTTCCCAGCATTTTTAGCAGTATTGGATTTTCTGGTTAATCAGTATCCATGCCAGGAACAGTATTATGTATTTCACATTTACATCCACAAATATTTAGCAAGTGGCCATAAATAGTCCACAAGTTTTTAATAAACTACAGTGGATTCTTAAGTAAAATCAACTATCATAATGCATCTCTGATGTTGCAGTCAGTTCAACACAAATAAATTCTCTCCAAAAAAAAGCCACTGGCACTCCTTAATGATTTTCGCATTCCAGATAGATTTCTTAATTTTTATTTAAAATAGGTACTATAGATACAGTCCTTTTTTTATCTTGTTTTATACTTCAAAAGTTTAAACACCTTATTTCAATCCCACTATTACACACAACCCTTGGACTGGTAAGACCTTGCTTTAATTACACTTCATTATAATAAGGACAAAACCATCTCATTTTGCAACCTCCATATCAAATTTCATGCATGTGTAAGTAAGGAATAGATAAAAAACTACTCAGAGAGAGCATCCATTCTCATAATTTCTGTCTTTCATCTTACACCACCAGGAAGCTTTTACCTAAACCTTTGCACGTACAGAAACTGGAATACAATTAACACTCCATTATCCATGAGAAGATTATGTAAATTGTGGGTTAGGCAGGGTCAGGTTTTTTTACTGAAACACTGCTGGCTTCCACAAAGTACAGTTCTGCTTCTATAAGACCTTACACTTACTGTCTCTCTTGTAAGGCTGACCTTGTTCCCCCATAAAAAGCAATCAAAAATTTTATATTCCATTATTTACATTATCATTTCTCCCCCATCTACATTATCTTTTCCCTCCCCCAATTAGTACTATGGATAGCATAGAATTGAGTAAACAAGAACTTAATTTTAAAATAGTTTGATTTTAAAATCCTCTGGAGCTCCCTATTACTTAAAACAGCACTTTATTTCAAACTCTTGACAAACATTTTTGTTCCTAATTATTTAATAAGCTGTTGGTGACCCCAGATGAAAACTTTTCATACTTTCAAATTCCCCCTCACCAACTTGTCTTTCCTCACAAAACATGAGCACCAAGAGAGCTGGTATTCCAGCTGTTGAGGGGTTCCCTTGACAGACCAGACTGGTATGACTGAGCTGACGGAATCTTCAGGTTATAAACCAGGGCTATTCATGGCTTTTGAGCTTTGGGAATACCAGAGATGCAGTGGGGGAAGATGTAGTTTAGTTTTGCATGGGAACAGGATGAAAAGTAAGATAAGGGATGTCAGCAAAACAGAGTTCTTGTCCTCTCACCACTCACACTACTCAGCAAACATTCCATCCACAGATCTTAAACAACTGGAAGAAAAAGCACAATGACGTTTGTCCAAGTTAACAGAAAAGCAGAATGTATAACCAACAACATCCACAGCAGCATTTACAGACAATATCTATTTTATAAAAACTTTTTCAAGATCAACAAAGTAACAAGCTTCTTAGTGTTTCACTAAGCACATAAGTCTGTAAAAATGGATGAATGCATTTGGAGAAACATAAAGCTTCAAAAGAGAGGTAAGAGATGAGAAAAACTACCAGGTCAAAACACAACTTTAAATCTGATATTAAACTGTAGAAAAAAACCTGACACCTTTCAATCCACCCCAAAAAAACACTGATAACTCGCATTAAGTTCGTACCTCCCATTTTGAACATACCAAGGTGTCAGTAAATAGTATACATAACACTGATATTCGTCAGCCATTGACATAGCTACAAAAGCAGTAGATTCTTGCAAAGAATCCAGTCTATGTACTGTGTATGACTGCAGCTTTGGTGAAAAGTTCAAGTCAGGCATTTTCCTAATTAAAAACAACAGAAGACATAGAAAAGCAGAAAGATAAAGTGGCTTGACAGACACCAAAGATAAGATCAGCGGACAAAAAGCAGAGTTACTGCTCAAATCCTGGCTGTGTCTAATAAGTTAAATCTCAACTGCATCATTTACAACCTGTCCCTTCTGTCTTTGCTACTTAATAACTCTCAAATGCATTTGGCTTACATGGCAACGTCCCTTATGGTTGCTTCTTGCTGTTGATTTTGCCTCTTTTTTTTTAATTAAGGAGAATTTCAGCAATCTCAGGTTCAATTATATCAATGACTGTAAATGCAGAATACTCTCCTCAGTAAAAAATTCACTGTAAGGATAGAGCTCAATGGCATTTTGAGCAAACTTAAGCCTGGTATCACCTCTAAATGCTTCTTCACCACATTTGGGGAGGCACATGGGGAACCAGATTGGAGAATCACTCCAGCTGGAAACTACATAACGAAATTATACCGATTATTTTCAGCCACAGCATTTTCTTGACTTAGCTTACTGCCTGGCTGCTAAAAAACTGTTTCTCCTGCCAAGGGGTATGAGAAAACAAGGACAAACGCAATAACGAAAGCAACATCTTTTCTTCCTGTAGCAGCAACAGCTTATGCCACTGTAAAGTATTTGTGTAGCCATGGATTTAAAAATGTATGGCATTCATTCCTGCCTAGACAAACCTTTCTCTGGCTGTGAACTAACCTGTTTGCTAAATGATTCATTCTCAAGAAAAGCTTTGTTATTTATTTTTTTAATAAAACAATTTCACAGTGCTTAGGTAGACAATGCGACTGTGCACAAATGAACTGGCAGAGCAGGGGGCACCTCTTTGAGAGAAAAAGTTCATTTTAAAGCAAATCTACTGCCAACAAACTAATCGGTCTTGGAAAAGATCTTAGCTCAAAGAGGACAGAGATTCTCAAATAAAGGTTTTGTAAAACAAACAAAAAAATACACATATATTTTTAATTTAAGCTTTACATTTTAGATAGTGATGTTGTTTTGCCAGGATTTTGTACCCCCCAACTTCACCCCCTGTCCTCCCTACCCTTTTTTCTTTCCTTTCAGAGTTAACCCCAAAACATGAATGATGCAAGTGGAGAAACAAGAATAAACACTCTAGGAAGTTTGAAATGAAACGTTTAATTTACTTTTAATTTATTGTATTTTAATCACTGAAGAAACTGGTACATGTCAGCCACTGATGATGCCCTGTAATTAACACATCAAGCTATGTCCATTTAGTTACTGTTACTCATAACTTAGATGTTCACAGTCAAGGATCTACACGGGCTTTTAAAGAAAAATTTTGGAGTGAAAAGTTTCTTGTAGAAGTAAATAGTTACTACTGCACCCTTGTGTGAGATTTATATGCCAGGTGGCAGGTCGTGACACCTCTTCAGGTTCAATTTATGCTTCTCAAAGCCTTAGAAATGTTGTTGGAGCCACTAGGAATTTGCCTACAGAGCCAACCCCAGCTCCAAAGATTACTGCTCTGGTTATGCAGAGACACCAATTTAAACTTGAGTACTTTTTAAGTGTTAACTCTTGCTATAAAGTGTTTGTGGGCATTCCTGGCCTCAAATCAAACATCCTAGGCACTAAGCAGCACTGGATGTATTAATTACATTGCTTCAGAGTTTTATAAATTGACTTTACCACCCTCTATAAACGCCTATCTGTACAGTCATTCTGCAAATAAAGATGCCAAAGGGTTTCTCTAGCTCTAGATTATGAGGAGCTCAGGACATCACAAGAGTTGTTTCTGCTATGTCAACAACACTGATAAATCAAGGTGACTTCCTTGCACTACCTAAACACTCCACGATTAAAAAAGAAAGGGAAGAAAGATCTGTGTGGAACAGCCAGTCTTGAAATGATTTTTCTTTCTAGTCAGCAGTTCCAGCACCAGCACAACTGTGACTGCAGCCAAAATCCTCTGCAACTAGTCAGGTCTCGCAGATCCACACCTTCCTAACTTCCTAATGCTCAGCTCTGTGAGCTTAAAACAAGTCACTAACAACTATAACACATGGTAATGGAAAAACAGAGCACATCACTTCTGGTGCCACTGCTCATCCTGTTGGCCAAAAACAGGTTTATAATTAGGCAAGCAGAACAGGCACGTGCATATTAAGGAAGCTTAAGAAATGTAAAACAGCGGCTAACACCTCACTCCGAATAAAGCACCATGCCATGAGACAATCCCTACTATATAATCTGCCCTGAGGAGGGGAAGGAAGCAGATTTTTCCTCTTCCCCTCCTCTCTCAAGTTAGCATTTAAAAATGTGCTCATCTTTGACACAAAACCAGACCAAACCCAACCCATACAGAAATTCCTGCTAGTACTTCTGCTCATCCCTCCTCTTCAACAAGTTACACCAAGAGATTCACCTTCTTTGTCAAGACAGATAGCTCACCAAAAAGAAAACCCAATTCACCAAACAGGTTACCTGTCTAAGTTATGCCTTGGCACGACAACCACATTAAAACATTAGAAAGCGGCCAGTGTGTAAAGCACGATGGCATTCAGCAAAACACTCTCGAATTTCAGTGAATGCCAAATTTAACTATTCCTTCAGAACCTTTTTACGAGCAGTAACTTACTGGACATCTAGGCACAGGGTCGACTGCCAACAGTAAAGAGCAATACTTTCACCTAACTTGCAAACAGCAATCCACATCAAAATAACGCAAACTAAATGTATTTCATAAGCACACTTGGATCACTCATACCGGTAAGTCCACGCTGACATCTGTCCCGTCCAGCAGCGCCACTCGGCAGGTGATGATGGATTTGGCGTCCCCAGCTGCAGGGATGTGGGTTGCAGCCCTTTGGGCCTCTCTCAGCCTTTCCTTCTCCGCATGCTTACGCATGGACCGGCGTCCCAGCGTGCGGCGGAAAAAGCTCAGCATCTTTGCTACAAAATCCAACAGAGAAAATGAACAGGGTGAAGTTTTTTACAGTAGAAAAAGCCTAAAAACAAAACAAAACCCACTAACCAATCTCAAACCCAACCAAAAAAAAAAAAAAAAAAAAAAAAAAAAAAAAAAAAAAGCCTGCAATAAAGTTTTTCAAAAATCCCGGACTCTGATAAAGAAACGCCAAGAATCAAACAGATTTTGACTTTTAAACATATTTTAAACACAGTTCTTGGCTGTGAAAGTCTTGGAAAAAAAACCCAGCTTAGAACTTTGAAGACGGCTGGGTGAGTTTTTGGGAGTACACGAAACTACGTGTAAGGTGAAAAAAACCAGCGATCGCGCAGATCCCCTACTGTTCTCTGCAATCTTTCAGTAATACAAACGCCACGGCGCGCTTCTCCGTCACGGTGATCCTGCACAGCTGGGAGGCAACTCAGCACTACACACCGCCGGCTCCTTTCCCGGCTCACAGCTCCACCTCTCCCACGGAAAACAGGCGATAAGCGACCCTTCCCGCCTCAGAGCCGCGCTCCCTGTGGCTCTGGGAGGAGGGCGAGCGCCCCTCGGGCACGGCGCTTCCCGCGGCGCTGCCGGGCTCACGGCCGGAGTGTGAGGGGAGCCAGCCCCGAGCCCCGGCCCCGCCGACCCCCGCCCTTACATAACGCCCGGCCCCGCGGCCCCGCTCCGGCCCCGCCTGCCGGGCTCACCTGCGGCCGGCGGAAGCGTCCCCGCGGCGGCTCCTCCAGGCCCCGGGGGCGGTGAGGGAGCCCCGGGAGGGGCCGGGCCGCCGGACATGGCGGAGCGTCGTGGGAGGCCCTTAAACGGGCAGCGACGCGCCGGCCATTTCCTTCCCCCGCGCTCACTCACCTGGCGGCTCCCCTGGCCGCGCTCTCCCGCTCGGTGGCGGCGCGGAGATGAAGGCGGAGGGCGGCGGGAAGGGACGGCGGCAGCCGGACGGGAGAAGGAACGCTCAGCTTCCCGCCGCGCCGGGAGCCCATCGCCCCTTTAACGGGGCGGGGCCCGGTGGAGAAGGGGCGCCCCCTCCCGTGCCAGGTGGTTTCGCCCGGCGGAGGGGCCGCCGCGGGGGGTGGGGGGGCGCGGCGCCGACCACGCGCTGCCCGGGGGGGTGGAGCGGCCCGAGGGTCCGCGGCGGGGAGCGGGGTGATGGGGCGGCCCCGGGGGTGGGCGGCCCTGGGGATTGAGCCTTCGGGACGCGTTTCAGGTTATTTCCCAAAAGTTCCGGAGTTTTTGCTAATGCGGCGTGGAGGTTTCCCCTCTGTGGTTTGGCCAGGACTGTGACCAGCCCTCGGCTGCCCAGCGGTAACTGGAACCTTTAGGCAAATACGCGCTTGAACCATAAAATTTGTAAGAAAACCTTATCTTCAAACAGTGCCTGAAAGAGCAGCGGTAGCAGTGTATTAAATCAAGCAGAGCCGTCTACAAACGGGCACTGTTAATATTTATACACTGAAATAAGGCTACGAGTACAAAATGAAGTCTGTATTTTAAAGTTTAAATGCAGACGCGCAGCCTGTGCCGGTGCCCCGCGCTTCCATCGCTTTTCCTACGCGTCGCTCCAGCCCTGGGGACGAGCCCCGCTCCTCGGCAGCAATTACAGAGAGCTGCACTTTACTGAGCTTTTTTATTACATAAATATGTGTCCAAGTCAGTATTTGAGGAAAACCTCAGGAAAGGCAATATAAACTCTCCGTGCATAATGCCAGCTAAAAGTGACAAAGCTCGGAGTAAAGGAGCTCCGGACACCCAAAAAATCCTAGGATAACTGGGAATCTAGCCTACCCAATAGCCTGGGAAAGCAGATTCTTGGGCGAAAGATAACACGGTTTTTATGCTCCGCTCTGAATCGCGGGCTGACACCCGGTCAGTCCCTGCCAGGCAGTGGAATTGGCATAATGAAACCCACATTAATAGCTCAGCTCGACCGCCTGGATATACATCGAGTTCCCTTCATGTCATTTACTGAAATGGGGGGAAAAACTAAAGAGGCTGACAGGTAATTGCCTACCATTGCTGACGAAGTAACAGGTTGACAACCACTCTCCTGCCGCTGGGAGGAGCAGGGCGAGCTTTGAGGAAAGGTGAGATTCACATTCATGTGCCTGTTTATTTATTAAGAAAGGTGAATTACAAAACGGGGGGGAATTTAGATATTTACTTTTTATCAGAGGAACAGGGACTATGCTTGCTCTCTGTAGCTTGTCATGAAATACCTGTGGGAGCTTGCTATAAAGTTCCCAAAGAAACCATACAAAATCTTACTATATTTAACGTGGAAAAAAAAATTATCTTGAGGGTTTGCAGATATCTGATGAATTCTCAGATCAACTAACCAATGGTTTGCATATTGGATGCTTAGTTTGTAGTGGAGATTTGACAGGTAAATGGTTATTAAGTCTCCTGGTTATTAAGTCTACATCAATTCACATTCTCCTATATGACAAAGAATTGTGGAGAATTCCCTGATCCTTGGACATTGTCCCTAAATGTTCTTACCATCTTCCACTATTCCTCCAATTGAACTTCTTTCCACTTATTCACAAGCTCCCATGTTGGCACAAAGACTTTATCCTTCCCGTAGCTACAGTGACACAAAAGCTTAGTTGCTCATTTTTGCAATTTCTACTTCACACCACCCTCTTGCTACTCTTCCTGTAATTACAATTACGTCCTCGCTATTTGCGAGATACAGTATGAGTATGTACAGTACACATTCAACTGTGTAACCTGCCACTTGCCTTATATCCAGTCTTCCAATTCCAGTTTAAACAAATCTCCTCCTATTGAAAAGCCTCTTCTTACATCTGTTTTTCTCCTGAAAGTGCTTTCCCACTAGTTTATATTTTTGTTCTTCAAATCCAAACACCCTGTCCTCACTTTAAAGTCCTGTATTTTTCAGTGGAATCAGGAACATATGGGAGTCTCAGACACTCATCCCTCCTGAGAATTTTGTCTTTCCTCCTAAGCCCTTTCATTATCTTTACCCGCTTTTGTTTTGAACATCCCCTCACTTTTTGGCAGCAAATATTTGATCACAAGCTTCCATCTGGAATTTTTGTTCTTCACATCAGCGTTTATCACACGCTCAGCTTTTTGATCAGATTATCATCTCTACTGAACACCATCTCCAATACACTCACTGTATAAAATGTAATTTAGAAGTTATATATTGTTCCATTAGAGCAAATCTTGCAGTATTTATATATTTTCAGGCGAAAACTTGGGCTGATGCCTTAACCAAGCAACTTAATTCCTGAGAATTTGCAACCTCTTCTAATGCACGATCCATAGGGGTGTGTTTATGTCATACAATGTCAAGAAGGAAAATACAAGGTGAATATTATCTGGTACCAGAGACGTATAAATGTGGCACAGCAAAACCGTGTGTACAGTAGCAAGAAAATTGGAAAAAAAAATTAAACTTTAAATTACTAAAGCACATCTTTATTTTGCAATTAAAACAATTAAGATCCACAAGTAAACTATATATATATTTTCAAGTCTGTACCTAGACAACTATTTGTCAACTGAAATTAAATATATCCACAAAATATGCATAACAGCATTTTTTCACATAATAGAATGAAATTTTTACTTAAGACTAAAACAAGACTTGTTAAATGTTAATTAGCATATTTATCCTGGGAACTGCTGGTTTTCGGTAGAAGTTAGTGTATAATTTTAATGGCAAGAATTTTATCAAAATGAAGACAAATACATAAGGCCCTTTAAAGCATACAGTAGCTGCAGTGACAAAAGCTGAGTTTATTTTCACATTGTCCAGTGTTGACCAATTTCAAGTTTCCATCGTTTTCCATCAACCGCCCTGGCTGCTTAGCCAAGATGGTGCATTTACATTGTTGGTTTGTTTTTTCCCTCCCCCTCATGTGCTTTTAAACAAATTTATAGGCAGAAGTCTACTTATGGGAAGAGCCTTTGCATCCCCCCAGTATTAATGAAGATACACAAGAGTTAGTCTAAACAATGCAAGAGCTGTTCTGAGATGATTTACTCCACACTTGCAGTCCATCATTCAGCAGAATGAAACCGAGATGAAATTTGACAACTGAAATCCACAGCTGGAAATGCAAATTAATTACCAGAAGTAACTGGCAAAAATATTGCCACCATCTGATCGTTAATAATGATCTAAATAATACTCTTCCCTTTGTATTTACACATTGTATAGCACCTGTTACAGAAAAAACCCAAACCTTACACAAACAGCCCTGCCAAATTGACTGGTTAAAATGGGATCACTGGTAAATGAAGCAAACCAAATGGAAAACAAATCTGGATACACTGGATAAGATAAAACCTTCACTCTCTTACCTTAATTTTCCTGTAAGATTATTATGGGTTGTTACTGTGGTGCCCCAATGTACTGAGATAATTGCAGTGGATAATTTATAGTCTAGTCCTTGTGGATATATTCTAGTCAAAGAACAAAACAGCTTAACATAAACTGTTTAACCCTTTCACTCATGTCTCAGGCCCCTGGCCTAGCTGCAAAAGGGTGACAACTTCCTTAAACTTTGTTGTGCATTATCTTTAGTTATCAAAATTCAAATAAGTTAAGTAAAAAAAAAAAAAAAAAAAAAAAAAGGAATACTGATTTCCAGGTAATTGATCTAATGTTAAAAATAATGCTTAGCAGAAACATTTACAGTAAACATAGCTAATTTGCAGCTAGCTGAGAGAGATCACATACATTTACAAGTACCCTGTAAATTTCTATTTGCACCTTTTTTTTTCCTTTTTTGTTTTTTTCCCAAATGCAGGCTTCATATTCATATTAAGACAGGAAAATTGAGATGATAGTATTATCTTATTAATATCTATTTTCTGAAAATCCCTCAGAAACACATGAAAAATCAACAAGAAATGGCTGGAACAACAGAAAGCATTTGTACCAGGGTGTAATCCAAATAATCTCTGTACAGAAACCCATTAAGCATCTCTCTCCAAACCCAATTTATTTTGTCCAATAGTTCAGTCAGTAGTAAGCATGAGATAAAGTGCTACTATTCAAACATCAAAACACTTTGAAAAAAATTATCCTTTAAAACGTGTAAGCTTGCTAAATATGAAATACCACAACCAACAAGCTGCCAGCCAGTCTATGAACCACCATTCTTGCTACAGATATTTCTGTGGCTTTTGAAAATGAGGCTACTAATCAAAATGTCTAAATTTTTAAAATTGAATATTTCAGCTATTTTTCTTTTAAGAAAGTCGTTAATCTGTCCTCTTTACCACTGAGATCTCAATGAGCAAATATGCCAAAGCCAATAGCCAGAACTTACAGCTTATGCACCAGATCACAACTTGTAGCAGGAGAAGCCCTATGAAAAGATAGACACCTGTGGGAGTAACAGGCACAGAGGTAAAATCCAATGAAAAGGAATTGGCCTGCTTTGCAGACTTCTAAACAAACAAGTGACTAAGTGCAGTGGGATAACGGAGACCGGACAGAACAGTTACTCTGAAACAAACCAACCATTTCCTCCTTCTAACAGCTTCCCAATCACCACTAATTATAAATCCCTGCATATTCATGCAAGATCCACAGGTAATCAATGAGTATGTTTTTACCAAATCTTAATACTGGATCCTAGCAGTAGAAGTAGCAACGGAAAAATACTTCTTCAGTCTCAAGACAAAAGATGGGTACACTAAAATTGGCAAATACACCTAACCCAGCCAATTGGGAACCTGAGATGTGAGCTACAAAAACACTGCAACTGATATTAGAGGACACCATTCTTCAACTTGGTGGAAGTCCAAATATGCAAAATTTTCATGTGGACCGTAACCAAATCACTCCTTGTATCCTCAGGGCTGAGGGGCTTGCTGATTGCCTGCATAGTGGCTCTACAGTCAAAACAACAGCAAATAAACTGGACAGCCTTCTTTTGCTTGGACATTGGTGGATCTGTAGAGCTTTTCATGCTCATGCTAATTCCCTGAGCCACCAAACATCACCCACAGACCTGCACACACACTG